CCCTTCAACCTTCACTTATCTCCTGATCCTCTTTGCCATCTTTGTGGTTTGCTGTTATTGAAGATTTTGAGGTTTTTTTTTTTTCATATACATGATGGTTATTTCTCTGTAGTCTTTGAGAAATGTTTATTCCAGTCTTTTGCTTAGCTTTAATCTGGTTATCTGCTTTCTTGCTACTGAGTTGTTTTGAGTTTCTCACAAATATATAATTCTCACTTCTTAAAATTATGTATTTCTTACTTCAACACTTTGTGTGTTTCAGCTTTTTTCTTCTGTATCCTATATCTTCTTCTGCATCCTATCTCTTCTTTTATTTTTTTAAGAGTAGGAAAATTTGTTGGAGAAAAGGAATGATGAATAGGTTTGGGAAATTGAATAGCTCCTGAAAGACAGGAGGAGTCCCAAGTGGGTTGCCGTGTGTCCTATTTCTTCTGTGTCTTTTCTATGTCCAGTACCTCTAGTACAGACTCTCTGTGTTGTCTTTCTGTCTCTCTACCTCTCTCCATCTGTCTGTCTCTCTCTCCCTTTCTCCTTCCCTCCCTATCTCAGTCTCTTCTCTCTTCTTCTTCTCTCTCCCTCCTTCTCTTCCCTTTTTTCTAGGTCTTTTAGAGTCATTTTAAATATCTTTCCTATCTCCCCTACTTTTCCCTTTCTCTCATTATATCTTACTCTTTCTTTTCTTCTTTAACCTATTTAAACTCATTCCAAATTATAATCAGGCCTGTTATATAGCAAAATAGCTCAGATTAATCAAAGCCAGAGCACAGCTGGAGTTATTTATTCAGTTCGCTGATATTCAATGGTTCTCCATAATTGCTAAATTCTTCTTTGCAATTTCTTATTCATCTGCTCTTGAACGTACACACAGGTTCTGAATATTCAGAGGAGCATTACTAGTGATATCTCTGCATATCAATTTTTCTCTTTCCCTTAGTCTCCTGCTTGTTTTACTACTTGTTTAAATCTCCATCTTAAAAATGATTGGAGAAAGGAGAAAAATATGTCTAGTCTGATTTTATTTCACCTTCTCTAATGGATTGTAGAATCACTTATGACTCAGTTGGATAAGGAACAGGAATGATGGGAGGTGATCAAGTCTTATGAGATGGAGGAGACACAATATGAGCTAGGCCCTTACCTATAAAAGGAGACCAAAGTAATTTTCAGTATTTCAGTTAATATGGTGTCCTCATGAATAAAGATCAACAATAAGGTCCTTCCAGGATAGTTTATTACCAACATTTGCTTTTTGTAGATACACAGAGATCTGCTTATAACAGGTCTGGTATACGAAGTAACCACATCTATAAAATTGTCCTTGGGCAGGCATCTTCATGGGCTTCAGGATATTCAGATATATTCAGTTTCAGATGGATGTGGAGAGATGAAAGTGGATTCCATAGCAAAGAGGCAGAAGAAGTAAACAGAAGGCAAAAAAGAAAAAGGGGCAGAGGGATAGGAAAACAACAGGAGAATTTTGACACTTCCAAACTTTAACTCAATTTGGCAAATCTTGAGTGCAAGCAAACTATTTTCAAGGTAACACAAAGAGCAAAAAGCCTAGTCTGATTATTTTATGACAGTAAACCCAATAGAAGATTAAAGACAAGGGAAATGACAGTGAACTTAGAAAAAACAGGAAATGGGTGGACTCTGGAAAGCTTTCTGAAGTGCCTTTCTGAGACACTGGAGAGGGTTTCTAAATTATAAGGCTCGCCAGCAGAGGCCTACAAGGACTCACACTGAGGATTGCTGTTCTTCCTTGAAAGTCATTCGTGGCCGGCCTCCAAACATTTGTCAAACCACAGATCCAAATGCTTTTATCTCTACCACTTTATTAGGAAACATCTGACAAAAGTTTGTAAACTGTTGTCTCTTAATTTTATTCCTAAATTCCTCCCAGTTCATGTACCTGCATTCATAAAAATCACAACATGCCAAAATCATCTCTCAAGTTTTTGAATCTATCAAACTGATACATTTCAAAGGCCTTGTCAGTACTATGTAAAATCAGATGGGGAAAAATTCAGATGGGGAAACAATTATTCTTTGCTGGCTATTTAAGGATGTTGTAAAGCCTGGACTTGTCTTTCTAAAACAGAGTGGGTGCAATAAGCTACAGGCTCAGACACAGGATGTGGGCTTGCAAGGTCTTTCTATGGGCTATGCGTTACTGCTGTTCTCCTTGATTCTGCTAAAAGGTGTCACTGTGATTTCCTCTCTTTCTGACATTTCCCATATAAGACAACTACCCAGCCAGATGTAACTGTTTGATTCTCTCTTTGAATGAAAAGGCAGAAGTCTTTAGACTGTGCTGTACCTTGTGCCTTCTCTCTTTCTCTGATTGTCCAAAGATAACCCCAGTCTCACTAATAAGGACCTCTGTGAGATCCTGACCCTTACAGGTCATCCTCCCAGTTAACCTTTCCCCACTAGATCCCACTCCTAACAGGACAATTAACTGTAAATTCTTCAGTGGAAAATCCACTGATGCATATAGCACCCCTGTGATGCAATCATCTTACAAAGGTCCAAGCTCTGAATTCATGAGGTTTTGGGGGATACTCTTTATCTAAGCCAGAACAGAGGCTTATGTGGGAATTGAATGAAGATTTCCTTTTCTACTCAATGCTAATTACTAAGTGTTAGTACTTGGGGTTTTCAAGCCTTGCATTTCCTCTTCCTTCTATGAAAATTCCCTAGTCAAGTAAGATCAAATCACAAGCAATGTGCAAAGGAGCCAGAAACACCCATCTTCTTGATTTCACTCCAGAGAGCCTATAATTGGTCTTAAGGTGGCTACAAACACACATTTTTATCCTATAAAAAAACAAATAGAATTTAGAAATCAGGTTAATTCAAGAAAAAAGACCATTATTTATTTTAAAATATGGTGATATACCCTAGAAATTAATCAGAAATGAGCATTGAAAGTTCTCTTAAAATGCAAGGGCAATCAGGATCTCACAGAGGTCCTTATTAGTGAGGCTGGGTTATCCTTGGACAATCAGAGATAAGGGAAGATGAACAATGAATAAAGTTCCTCTTAATCTTCACAATAAATCTATCAGGCAAATGTGTGTTTCTTCATAATACAGATGATAAAAGAATGCTTATGGTAATTTATTTATAAAGGTAATTTATAATTGGCAACATTAAATAGAAAAATTAGAAATTGAAAATACATAAAATGTATTTTGAAAGACTGCTCTGTGCTAGGCAATGTGCCAGGAGATAAGGACATAAGATCTCCATATTCAAGAAGCTCATACTCTAGATATTAATGTATATGAGGAATGTGTTCTCTAGAAACTGAAGCAAAGACAAATGCAATTTTGCATGGGTGGAGGTGGGCACAAGTTACTGAAAATTCGGTATGAAAGTAAGGATTGAGGTTAGCCTTGTAGAAGCATGAATTTGTTGAATGGACAAAATGGAAAGTGAATTCCAGGGAACAAAGGAGAAGGTCACATGTAGAGACTTGGAGGCACAGAAAACTATGAAGTGTTGGGGAAAATTAAGTAGCAGCTGGAGCACAGAGTGTCTCTAAAAGAGCAGACAAAGATTAGCAATTCTAACCAGCATTTTACGACAAATGTATATTGAGGTTAAAAAGAAGATATTGGAAAGTGTCTTCTTAACTTCCATCTTGAGTGACTAACAATTTGTTAATACCCTTAACTAAGGAAGGGGATGAGGAGGAGCCATGGAGTCTCATTGAAGCATTAGTAACTGTGCAGTTTGCTATCATTTGTGTAGATATCATCCTAAATAAATGTAAACTGAATCTGATATTCTGGATTTTCATTCCAATTGCCTCAGAAAATACACAGTAGAAAATTATACTTTTCCCATAATTTCAGTGATAACAGTAAGTTCCTCCAGCTATAATCTGTTGACTTGAAGGAATTGGAACACCTTACAGGCACCCACAGGATGAATATTCTTAAAGTGCCTTAAAGCTCTCCTTCATTTTTTTTTCTTCCCCCACCTATTCCTTTCCCACACTCACTCAAAAATTCTGTATCTCTACATGAGATCTATTTACTCTTATGGACAAAAGCATTGTTTCTGTGATTTATAATCAATATCATTTTCTGAAATTACATCATACTTGTGCTACTAAATCACTCAAAACCACACTTACTCAGTTTGCCATGCTCCTAAGTCAGCTGCTGTCTTTTTCACTGCAAAGGCAGAACAGAAGCATTAGCTTAAAGGACTAAAAGACTTCTAGCTACCTTCAGCTACTGAGTAGTCCAAGAAGAGCTTACTATGTGGCCCACTCACTCACAAGAGCCACGATCTGTCTTGTACAACAGCTGGGAGTCAAATCCTGAGCTAAAATAAGCTTTCCCTGGAATTCTCCTTTGATGCTTCTTAGGGCTAGTTATTGTCTCAGGAAGCTCCAGGTGGTGAGATTGGATGCTCAGCCCTCTCTCCATTACTCTCCATAGGAGACACCTTTAAGGAAACAATTTAGCAAGACAAAGAATACTTTTGTTTTCAGCCTGATGAAGAAATGTCTGTAGCATTAAATGACTTCGAGTCTCCAAATCAGAAGTATTTAATCTTTTGTGGGTCCCAGCTACCTTTCACAAATTGATAAACCATGGACTTCCTAAGAAAATTGTTTTTTTTGTTGTTGTTGTTGTTTTGTTTTGTTTTGTCTTTTTCCTTTTTATTGGTACTGGGGATCGAACTCACGACCACTGCTTGCAAGGCAGGTGCTTATGCCGCTGAGCTAAATCCCCAGCCCCAAGAAAATTGTTTTAATACACATCTATTTTTACAGTACTTCAGAGAACATCCTGAAACAAGTTTCTGCATCCTCCAGGGTGGAGGGTGGGGAGATCATTAAAACTCGGACTAAACAGATTACATTTTTTTCGCCCCAAAAATTGATCACTCTGTAACATAAAATGATGTATTTAATCTAAAAGTGTAAGATTTGTGTGCACATAAGAGAAACTAGGTATCAAGTGGCATAAAACCTGAAATTATAAAGGCATATTTTATTTAAAACCATTCTACAAGATATACAAACCTCACAGAAACTGAAACTCTATAAAAGAACAATCTGCAGAATTTAAACAAGGCTAATGAATTTATATACAACTCAAGTGAACTACTTTCCTGAAACAAATAGAAACTATAGAGTTAATAAATAATATGCAATCGTATGTTTCATTCTTGTGGTCAGAGCATACTAGAAGAACAGAAGCGTTACAGCTAACTATTGAATGTGTTCTGCTCCTCTTTAGTAAGTATGACAAGAATAGAGCCTCATACTATAATGAAATATTTTCCCACCAGTGCAGTCTACAATAGCACACTTTGTTCATTGTGCTACTGTGGTCGTGGAATGTGGACCTCTCTCCCTTAGCTCGCCAGCACTGTAATTTCAGAATTCAAAATATGTGTGCCAGGAGAGTTCTTTCCCTCCCCCCCATAAATTGCCACACATTATACTGACTTACAGTTTCTTTATAATCTAAACTCTGTCATATTTACTTGCTTATAATTGTTTTGGCACATACATGATAATATTAATAATAGTAACTGCTTAGAACTACAGTAAATGATATTACTCTTCTAGTCTGGTTCTGAATCAATTGAAAAATAAGATAAAAAGTTCAATTGAAAGAGGTCAAACAGCTTTATCAGCAATAAAACAGACACATTTTCATAGTACACAACCCCAGGGATAAACAGACAGAAATAGTCCCAAGTCAATAGCAACAATGGACAACAACAAAAATCCTCTACATATGGGGAAGAAAATGCCCCTGAAAGGCCACTTGCTCCTAAGAGAATGGTGAAAGGAAAAGGAATGTGTGTGATGGTTTTCTCTTCTTAACATCGTCAGGTAAGCCAATCCATATCCTCTGTAATGGAGTAAAGGAAGAAGACAAGAGTGTTATATTATGATAATTCTCTTCATTTAAGAGGAAATGCAATAATACTACACACCTATGTGACATTAAAACAGATACCAATTAAATGTTGGTGTGGTCATTAAAACAACCAATAAAAATTAAATTTTAAAGGTTCAGGGTTAGTTTTAGAAGGCATAGCAACAGAAGTTGATTTTAGAAGATTCTTTGCCAAAATAACATTTGCAAGGACAGGTTTTATTTTACAGAATAAGGACTGACAGGAAACTAAAATGAAATAAATGTTGTCTTTTTATTTTCTTGTGGTTTTTCTGCAAACTAATAGAACATATAATTTTCAAATCAAGGTTGGACACAAAATTTAAAGGCCTGAGACACAAAATATGACAAAAGGGACAAAATAAGGTTATGTCACTGGTGGCAAACCTATGGCACATTTGCCACTGTGAGCTTTTTGTTATTAAAAGTTCTGAAAGGTTTGCTATCACTGGATTATATGTTAACAAATGATAGTATGGAGCATGTAAGTTTTCATACCTGTGCTGTAAAGTGCCATATGCACGTAACTGTGTAATATAATTTAAGCAGGCATTCATCTGTGACGTGAATACAGATGTCAACGAACTAACAAGATCACCAGACACCATTGTCTTCCAGAGTGACTCACCAGAAGAGACCATCCTTCCTGGACCAAGACCTCTTCAGACACCATGAGTTCTCCCCTGTTGCTTACCATGTGATTCAGTGACCAATATTGCTAGCAGAGCAATAGAATGAGATAAGACATAATTTCCACTATCTTGTACCATTTATGTAGACAAGTATTTGGCTGGTTAACCCTTAATGATAGCTCACAGACACTAAATGCTGGACATCATATTATATTATTTCTGGCACAATGAACCACAAGTAATCACCTATCCTCTGGTAGTTCCCAGTGACTGACCAGGTCAAACTTCAATTTCTTCTTCGATAAATCCCAGACTTCTCTGGCATATCTCACCCAAACTCTGACTTCAGTATCAACCTGCCCACTAAGTACAGCTTCCAAGCCACATTTTAAACAGTGGTTTCTTGTCTTTCTCTTCACTTTTGGAATAGACCAGAGAACTGAGTATAAGAATATCCCTAAAATGAATGTTATAGGAATAGACTACTGTTCTGCCACTGCTTTAACCCACAGGAAATCATACATGGAAGGAATCTAGAACTTCAAGGTATAATAAGGTATGTGGTTTCTAGAATGCAGATAGGAAATATGAGAACTTGAAATATGGATAGGCGAGGGGAGTCCTACAGAGTGAGATAAGTGTCAGGCACCAACATCAAAACGAGATAAGGAGGAAGAGGATTGTTAGGACTGGAACTAGGTAGAAAAAAGAAGCAACAGAGATTGAAGAATGAGAGTTTGTACAAAGGGGAGTAAAACAAGGGAAAAGGAAGAAGGAAGGTGGAAATAACTGGGAAATAAGCAGGAATGTACTGACCGTACTCTATAAGCATCTAAAGGTAGGCGGGACTGATTCATACAAACTTCAAAGCAAAAAAGAAAAGTACAAGAGACTTCATCTGAATTTCAAAAGTTGCAGTAGTGAGATAGGAAAATGAAAATTGTAAATGCTCATTCTCTGAGGATAGAAAAAGAAAATGATTTACTCCTATAGGCAAAGTTGTGGATTAAGTTTCCCTGAAGGTCCACACAAGAGTAGTTGCATTTGTTGACAGAATCTCTTGGTTCTACCCATCCTATAGTGCATAACCCTAAATTCTAAGCCCATGAGAAAGATTGTCTCCTGTTCAAAAAGTATGCCAGCGCTCAAAACTAGGATCTACCTCCAGCATACACAGAATGGGTGGATGATGTAGCAGCAGCCACTGTTTAGAAAATGAGAGAAAAGTGGAGCACTGGGAAAAGCTAAATATGATTGATTCCTGACATATGCAAACAACTCTCAGGGACAATCCTGAGAAATGTGTTTTCTTTTTCCTTACACTCCCACCATTTTGTAATCTTAAATAACTTTCAGGAATATTAAGCATATTTTTCCTATAGAAATATATACATTCTGCTATCGCTCATCTGCATCCTATGTATGATTTCTGCAGGTGAATAACCTCCTTCACTTCCCTTTAAACACCTACACTTTAAACAAATCCCTCTTAACCCAGGAGTCAAAGTAACAACAGCTCTTTCACTTATTAGTTAGTTAGTTAGTTAGTTAGTTTTTGGTACCAGGAATTGAACTCAGGACCTTGCACTTGCCAGGCAGGCACTATGTCACTGAGATATATTTCTGGCCCTAGCTCTTTTATTTTTTTTTTACCTCCAAATGCATTCTGTGTAGTAGGTAAGCCTTCAATATTGAGAGCACTGGAACAGATGCAATACTTCATGGAAGCCCTGATCAAACCAGAGGAAAATACAGCCATCTCAACCTAAATTTTTATAGTGTGATTCTATGTACATAGCCTGTGGTATCCAAAGCATTTTCACTCTACATAACACTAATAGTTTACCAGACTGTACTAAGTTTCAAAACATTTATCACCATACATCTACCATGTTTTAGAATTGGGTTTCTATGCCCAACTGAGTAACTTAAATTTCTCTCTGTCTATCTGTCTCTGTCTCTCTGTGTCTCTGTCTCTGTCTCCTTGTCTCTGTCTCTGCCTGTCTCTCTGTCTCTGTCTCTCTGTCTCTCCGTCTGTCTCTCTATCTGTCTCTCTCTTTCTCTCTCTCTCATGCATTTCCTGTCCTTCCTCCCCATAATGTAGACCTACAGAACAGCAGCATTGTGAAAGAGTTCACCCTTGTGGGCTTTGAGCAGAGCTCTCCCTCCACATAAGCACTGCTCTTCACCCTCTTCCTAGCACTCTACAGCCTTGCCAAGGCCATGAATGGCCTCATCATCTTCATCACTTGGACAGACCCCAGACTTAACAGCCCCTACATGTACTCCTCCATGGGTCACCTTTCTTTCTTGGACATCTGCTTCATCACTGCCACCATCCCATAGATGTTGGTTCATCTGGTAGTCAAGAATCACACTGTCTCTTTTGTCTCTTGGATGATACAGATGTACCTGGTCTTCTTTGTGGGTGTGGCTGAGTGCATTCTCTTGGCTTTCATGGCCTATGACCATTGTGCTGCTTCCTGTTACCCACTAAGCTGCCTGCAGATCATGAACCAGAAGGTTTGTGTAAAATTGATGGGCTCTGCCTGGATCTTTGAGTTGATCAATGGTATCTTTCTTGAGTATATATCATTCTGGAATCCCTTCTGCAGAGACAGCCCATGTAGAAAACCTCTTCTGTGAGGCCCCCATAGTGATCACTCTGTCTTGTGGTGACCCCTAGGTTAGCATGAATTTGATCTTTGTTGACACCACTGTGGTGCTGCTCAGTCCCGTGGTCCTCACTGTCACCTCTCATGCCTGATCCTGGCCTCTATCCTTGGCAGAACCTCCTCCGCCTCCTCAGGTCGGGACAAGACCTTCTCTACTTGTGCCTCCCACCTGACTGTGGTTATATTTTTGTATACCTCAGCTATGTTCTCTTACATGAATCCCTGCAGCACACATGAGCCTGACAAAGACAAGCCCTTCTAGCTCCTCTACACCATCATCACCCCCATGTACAACCCCATCATCTATAGTTTGCACAACAAGGAAATAAAAGGAGCCATGGTGAGGGCTTTTAGGAGAACTAGGGTGGCCCAGGCAGTGTGCCTAGCAGGAAGCCCCTGGAGAAGAAGCCCCCTCTCCTGGGGTGGAAAAAGATTAGTTACCTCTTTCTCATCCTAAACAAGTGAGTAACTCTCCAATGCTGAAAGACTTCAGGAAAGAGAATTCCTGGCTTCTCTGACACAGACTCAGACCTGGATGTTCTTCTTGATGACTAAAACTCATCTCTCTGACTTTATTTCCAGCACACTGATACTAAGATATTCCTCAGTAGTGAGGGATATCTTAGGATAGTAGACATAAGTCCAAAGCAATAAAGTATCACCTCCTGAGATAAGGTATCTATGTTTCTTAATAGAAAGTCGTTTGAGGAACCATTCTTTTGGGAGCTTCACTTTCTAATGGTAACATCAATTTTAGTAGTTGCCTTGGATCTGGGAAAGGAGTACACTGAGAACCACAACAGGCCTGTAGGTTACAATAAATTGAATAAATATGCTATGAGAATATGATAATATCTGTGCATGTTGATCCTCAAGTTCTTCAATTAAGTTTCCAGAAAAAATAAGAATTGATTGATGGATTATATTGCTAACCAAAGATGGCAAGAGGTACTTCTAAATATCCTAAAGCACATAGGACAGCCCCCACCCAAGGATGCAGCCTAAGATATCAATTATATTGAATATGAAAAGAGGTACTAAGGGGACGGAACACAATGGTAATGAGAGGTAGTTGTACAAGAAAAAAGGAAACCAAGAAAAACTAGAATACAGAATTCAATCTGCAAAGCTATCATTCAGTTGCCCATGAGAAGGATTTCTGTTGGCATTGTCATGGCAATGATCTAAACAGTTATAATAAAATAGTCACTTAAGATTTCTGTTCATCTCTATCTCAGCATTGTCTCCTCCAATTTTCACAAATTATAGGACTTTTCCTATCTAGTCATGCTCTTCTAGGTATCACTGACATGGATGCCTATCTGTCACTTCAAACCAAATATTGGCTAACCACAGTTAAACTTCTCCTGTCCCCATCAGTTTTATTTCCTGTCTGGACCACTCTCACCCTACATCCTCACTTTCTACATTTTTACCCCAACAAGTATCATTTAATGTGACCTAAAAATCCACGTTCTCCTTGAAAATATTTCCTAAACTTCAGCATTTTTTTCTCATTCACTTACATCTTTTCTTTTTAAATTTTTATTTAAAGAAGGAAAGAAGAGAAAATTTAAAAAACAAAAAATAAGAAAAAATAGAATACAGAAAAAAATTAGCATCATAAAATTGCTACATTTTGATACATTACATATTGTCATTTTAACAATAGTTGTTAAAGTTACAAAATCAAAGCATAAAATGTGGCTAGGCACTCAGACATTGACAGTGCAAACCCTTCTGCTCAATGATCTAATAGAAATTAGTAATATGGTCATCTATCTTACTCACTATACATACCGTTATATCCTTTAGAGCACTTTCCTTCCTTTTCACTTTTACAATATGTATTATATTTTTTGGATCCCATTATTCTGTCAGTTCTTATTACCTTTTATACTACAGAGACAATGTGATATTTACTAATGTGAGTCTTGTTTATTTCACTAATGAGGATATTTTCAAATGCCTTCATTTACCTATAAAGGCTTCAAGATCAGCCTCTTTATAGCTGAATAGTATTCCATTGTATGAAAAACCACATTTTTTTCATTCACTCTGTGGTTGATGGTTTGGTTGTTTCCAAGATTTAGCTATCGCAAATTGCACTGCTATGAACATGGGTGTACATATATCACTGTGACATGACCTTTTCAATTTTTCTGGGAAAATACCCAGGGGGGAGTAGCTGGATTAAATGGAACTTCCAATTCTAGTTTTTTGAGAAATCTCTATCCCGATTTCCACAGTGGATGCACCAGTCTGCACTCCCACCAACAGTGGAGCAGTGTTCCTTTTTCCCCTTATCCTCCCCAGCATTTGTTATCGATTGTTTTCTTGATGGCATCCGTTCTTTTCAGGGTGAGATGAAATCTCAATTCTGTTTTAATATGCTTTTCTCAAATGACCAG